AACTAAAAACTTCTGATCCAAGTGCTATGTTAAAGCAAATACTACGATGTCCCCAAAGATATACATCAGCAGTTGGAGTTGAAGACTTCGTTCGAATGATATCGAGTTCAAATTTTGTGATATACAGGAGATGTTACGAAACAGAAGAAGATTACCTCGGATCATGTAGCAAATGAAGTAGTTTTCAAAGTGATTATAACATATTACAAAGTTTTACCAACTGGACAAGGAATATATGACCAGAAATTGAAGGCAATGATAAATGCAGGAATGTGAAAAACTAGAACAAGTTTTTGGCCAAGTATATGTACTATTTCATGGATTCGGATCCCTGCCATTGAAAGTACTCTCTCATTTTTACATAGTAAAACAAGGGGGATCCGAATCCCTGATTGATTATTATTTCTTTCTATCTAACGACAAACGAGCGCAAGCATTCATCCGTCTGCAAGAAGCACGAAGCCGAAACTTGGTTCTACTTTCACCTAAATTCTAATACGAATGACAAAAAATGATAGAGATACATGCAGACGCAGAGATGTCATGGATATATGCTTGTTCACAATCATACATTAGAAGAATCAGACAAACATCCATATCTTCTCATTGGCAAACAGAAAAACTGACTACCCAAGTCCAATCAAGGGGAAATTTAGCAGATGTCGATCCTCCTCCGATCCATGTTAGCCAATTTTAGCCTCAAAGGCAATAACAAGTTATGAAACATATACTGATTTTACATTAAGAACATTCGACAATACTCGAAAGAGGAATTGTACAATAATATGTTTGATAGTACTAGTTATCATTACAAGAAAAGATTAACGGGGACTACTAAGCACATCAACGACAAACATACGATTCATTGAAGGTAGCCTCATTTGCTGGTCCGGTGCTCTACTCCTTTTGAACCATGGATGTGGAAATGATGAGACCGAAGACGTCACAGCCCATAAATCAACCAAGTTATCACAGCTGTAAGATGCATCAATGACACCATTAGGACTACCTGGAATAGATCTATGCTTGTGTTTATGGCCTCGGTTTCCTTTGCTATGGCTTTCCAATAACTCTAAGATGAGCTTGTAGCAAGCATTTACTTTATCCTGTTGGAAAAGAAACTACAATCAAGATCCAATGTAAGGATTCAAAAATCGGCCCCCAACCCCAGGTAATGGTGCATACAAACCTCACATGTCTTGAGTACACCAATAAGCTGTTTCTGATATTCTAGGTAATGACATGGTTCGATCTCTTTAATAACATGAAGCATTGTTGCAGAAGCTAAGATCGAAGGTATATAAAGCATGAACCTTGAATCTGGGTCAAAATTGAATTGGAAAAACTCAAGGTATATATGATAAAGCATTCTTTGTACAATTAGGATGAAAACAAAAGCTATTTTTGACTGATTACCAGCAATGAGAAACAGAAGCAAACGCTCACATCTTCGAATGAACTCCAAATGCAAATGGATCTTCAATCCAAGCCTACTTGTAATGTGATTGAAGAAGGAAATTGGTGTCACAGGGTTCATCCTCCATTGCAGAATTGACAACACCAAAAGCTCCATTCTTTGTATGGTATTTGAATCAAACACACTTTGATTCCTCCACCTAAAAGAAAGGGGAAAAAGAATATCAAAATCCCATCTTTAATAACCCAAGAACAAATTTAAGAAAGCAACAAACAATATTGGACACATACTTGAAGGTCTAAAAGGAGTGACACTTGGGTTTCCTCGACCTTGGCAGCTAAAGAAACACAAGCCACAGCAGCTAATTGTCTCATCCATGGCTTGTCTTTTTGAAACTTTAAGCTTGAAATGAACCTATCAAAGTAATTCACAGCAAGAACCATGGTCAAAGCATTGAACCCATAGTGTTCCTTGACCTTGAAAATCCACTCCAAAGCTTCTTTGCGAGCCACAACTAATGACTCATCCGAGTTAACATCAATATATCCATTGTGAGTTTCTTTCTCCTTAGACATTAAAGAGACATTAAAGAGAGCAACTCATCATCTTCCCAGAACAAGTCGTGGTCAATAAAAAACAAAAGTGAAAAGGTCTCTTTTTTCACTGTTCTCTTTAAATTTTCACTTGCGTTGTCTTCAAAACTACACTCTCCTAAATATTCATCTTCTTCGCAATACAACCCATCAATGATCAATGGTGGGTTTTGAATCTACCGAGTCTCTTCCTCTTGCAGAGCCATAGCTTTCAAAGATGAAAAATAAATTCTTCTCTCATTATAATACCATAAGAAACAAAGCGAACCTCAAGCTCATTTTTCACTCTTTCTTCAATTCCTCAATCTGGGTACATATGGTATTACAATAGGAACAGAACAGGAAATAAATAATATATATAAAGAGAAACAGAAGCAATAATTTACGGTCTAATATTAAATTTTCATAATAAATGTTATTTAACAAAATATGCAAAAATATACGTATAAGTAGATATCATTCATTTTTCTCCTTACTGTTCTTTACTATTTCAATTTTTCAAAATCTAATCCTCTCATTCCTCGCAAGTTATTGAGGTATTATTTATCTTTAATTAGTTTTATTAGCCGGTTCTAACGTTATTGTCTATATGCAGAGATTTTTTCGCAGAGTTTTATTTGCAGTGATTACTTCCCATTAAAGACGCGCATAGAATATTAATGACTACATATGAATATTGTTCAACTATGTATTTATGTATTTATTTATACATGCATTGCATTTTTATCTATATTTTTGATTTTCTGACTGTCAGAGGTCTTTCACGGAAGTTACTCTCTACCTGACGTTGGGGACAGCTTACTACCCTACCTCCTCCTTACCCTATTGTATATGTGAATTAAATTTTATTGTTGTTGTTGTACACCTATGATCACTAAACTTTTGTAGTCATCGATGTTAATGGAAAATTTTATTTCAATCATCCGATCATGAAATCCTAACGACGTCTTAGTCAACACATCCACATGTAATTTCCTTTTTTCCCTTGCTTATAGGGTAAAGTACAACCACAATCCAGGATGGCGAAAAAAATCTGAAACTGACATGTGCTAATCTGATCCTACCTTATAAAGTCAAATTTTTGTGAAATTTGGATCCAAAATAAGTTAGGATGAGTTCTTTTGAAGAAGAGATTGAAGTTGTAACTAGAGATGGGCATGAGACCGAACTCGACGGGTTTTAATTTGATTTGACTCGATCGGGTTTTTAAAAAAAATCGATTTTGGTTTCAGGTTGGGTCGATTTTTTTAGTATGATGTTCGGGTCGGGGTCGGATTTAGGGTGAAAAATACCCGACCCAACCCGAAAAAATATATAATTTTACCTTATATATTTAAGAATAATTATAATAATATCTCTCTATATATTATTTTTTTCCAATTAAGTCATTATTTTTATTAAATAATAATAATATTTTTTTATTATTTTAGGTCCGGATCAGATTTTTAAATTATATATCGGGTCGGGTTCGGGTCAGGTAGAATCTTATTTTAGTTGGGTCAGATCAAATTTCGAATGAAGGATTCATTCTTCTCGAATCGAGTCAAGTGGACAAAAAATATGAGCTAACCCTATCTATGCACTTCCCTAGTTATAAAGAAATTGAATTTAGGGTGTATAGGTACAAGCTAAACTCAATATAATTACCATAATATCCCTATATGTATTTAGGATTTTTATATATAATTTTATTTTCATCCAATCAATCGCACATTTATTTGTTCTTCTTCTTCAATTCTTCTCTTTTTTTTTCATTTCTCCCCCACCCCTTTTCAGCAATGTAAATTATGTGTTTTTCTTTTTTTTTTCCTTTTCAATTCTTCATTTACTTATTAATATATTATAGCTGATATATTTTTCAAAAAAAAAATCAGGATATTGCGTTATTTTACGGTTATAAAACTCTGAAATTTAAGAAATATAACTTAAATTAAAAATTAAAGAGTTGTTGAAAATGTTTGAGTAAAGTTTGTGATGATTCATGATGATTTGATCCATGTCGAATGAGGTTTAAGTAAGAGGATCTTTTATATGATTTAACTATATGTACCATTGTGTTTTTCTAGCAGTACATAGAGCATTCATTAAGTTTCTGAACTCATACTTATTTTTAAATCATATTTTTTAAATAATAACTCACGAAAGGAGTGAAAGTAGAGCTTGTGGTTCGATTCTCGATAAGACATTGTTTTAAGATGTACTTTGTGTTTGGAGATAAACTATAGTAATGTGGGACTCTTTCACTTTAAAGATTAGATTTTATTTTTAACACATTTGAGCTTTAGAACTTATATTTCTTGATGAATTTTAGGTTAATTGTTTGATGGCATGATGTTGAATGTTGCATGATGTTTGCTAATATGTTCTTTGTTGCAAACATGCTAATTAGGTAATGTTATATTTTGAGATTATACCTTGCCATGTTTCCCTCTATTATGAGGACGGAAACTGCTCGGTGAGACATAGAGGACATAAATAACAACTCTTGAAATAGTTCTATGTCGTTTTGTGGCCAAACATACACACTTTGTTATTCACTCACATATTTATTGAAGTTATAACAGCTCTACGACAGTTTAATAAACTAATCACATATATTATCATGTTATTTTTAAACATATTATGTGGATAAAACTATTATCTTCCTAGCGTCACATTTTAATCTAATTAAGTTGACTTCATAAAATTAATATTTCTTTATTATTGAAAAATTAAAATTATACTTTTATGAACTTTAAACTTATAAGAGTCAAAATAAAACAATAGTAAAGTGCAAGAATGTATGTAATAATTTCACCTTTGTTTTTGTTTCCAAGGGATGGAAGTAGTTGGTTAATTCATGTCCAAGAAAGAAATTAGGTTAAAAAAGAAAACGCAGGTTTCCCCCTTTTTGAGGGGTCCAGTCCAAAATTAGTTTATCTAAATTTCAACCTCTTCTTTACGCCTTATAATGTCAATGCCCAACGACGGGACCTTTCCCTCATACCTGATTGAACCTTGCAGATAACCGAACACAATCCCACAAAAAAAAAAACAGAGAGGCTATTCTCAGTTACTTTCCTCCGGTCGCGCGTACTTTCCACCCGTCGCAAATGGGCCAATCCCCTTCCGCCGCTTTTCACCGCGAAGCCTCCCTCACCCTCTTATCTTCTTCTGTTTTCCTTTCGGGCGAGGAATTTCTCGGTGAAATCGTGGCGAACCGGGATTACACCGCTGAGATTCCTGACGAGTGTTTGGCTTATATTTTCCAGTTCATCGGCCCTGGCGATCGGAACCGGTGTTCCCTTGTCTGCAAGCGGTGGTTTCGCGTCGACGGTTGGAGCCGCCACCGTTTGTCTCTCAACGCCCAATCCGAGATTGTTTCTTCTTTACCTTCTATATTAACGCGCTTCAACTCCGTGACCAGACTCGCCCTACGGTGTAGCCGTAAATCAATCAGCATAACAGACGATAATTTGCTTACGGTCTCAACCTATTGCAAAAATCTCACACGGCTGAAGCTCCGTGGTTGCCGCGAAATCACTGACGAAGGAATGTCCGCATTTGCTCAGAATTCTAAGAATTTAAGAAAACTTTCTTGTGGTTCTTGCATGTTCGGCGCTAAAGCTTTAAACGCCGTGCTCGATCATTGCAATAATTTAGAAGAGTTATCGGTGAAAAGGCTCAGAGGAATCCATGACGGAGCTGAGCCGATCAGGCCAGGAGCCGCGGCTTCTTCACTGAAGACGATTGGCTTGAAAGAACTTGTTAATGGTCAGTCTTTTGCACCACTTGTGGTTGGATCAAAAAACCTTAAAGCTTTGAGAATTATTCATTGTTTGGGTGATTGGGATAGTGTCCTTCAGTTAATTGGGAATCGAAATAGAAACAGTAATCCTTTGATGGAAATTCACCTTGAGAGGCTTCAAGTGAGTGATATAGGCCTATTTGCGATTGCAAACTGTGCCAAAATTGAGAATTTGCATATTGTGAAAACCCCAGAGTGTTCGAATTATGGGCTTGTTTGTGTGGCTGAGAATTGTAAGTTGCTGAGGAAGCTTCATATTGATGGATGGAGGACTAATAGGATTGGAGATGAGGGTTTGATTGCTGTTGCTAAACATTGTCCCAATTTACAAGAACTTGTTTTGATTGGTGTTAATGCTACCCATTTGAGCTTGTCAGCCATCGCATGTAATTGTTCAAAACTTGAAAGATTAGCTCTTTGTGGAAGTAGCACTATTGGTGATACGGAGATTGCATGCATTGCTGCAAAATGTATGGCATTGAAGAAACTTTGCATCAAGGGATGCCCGATCTCAGATATCGCCATTGAAGCACTTGGTTCCGGTTGTCCCAATTTGATCAAAATTAAGGTGAGGAAATGTAGAGGAGTGAGTAGTGACGCTGGTGAATGGTTGCGAGAACAAAGGGGATTGATTCTGGTTAATGTGGATGCTTTTGACATAGATTGTGGTTTTGAGGCTAGTGTAAGTGATGGTGGAGCTCATGAAATTGGTGTGGAGTTACCGCAGGCTGTTGGCCAAGTAACTGGCACAGATGCTTCCACGAGCAGCAATGGTAGGTTAGCATTGTTGAGAACAAAGTTGGGGCTTTTTTTCTGGTAGGAATTTAGTTGCACGCACATTAAGATGGTGGCAAAATAGTGACGATAGTTTCAGTAGCAACTTGTGAATGATCTTTACAGGAGTTGGAAAATTACTCTTGCTCTGATCTCATTGCAGCCTTGCAAGTTTATATGTCGAGTCATTTCTTTAACGCATACTTGTATTGATTGATTTAGATTTTTCTTTTGGAAACTTGTAAACCTTGAAGGACCGGCAATGGGAAATGAGAATGCCCTAGGATTTTCTCATTATTGCTCGTAGGCATCTTCTTCAGCTCCCCCCCCCCCTTCCCTTTAATGTGCTGAATATGCAGTTTATTTCGGTTATGTGCATATGTTTTCTTCATATATCGTTTTGATGATTGTGTATATGTGTTGCATAATATGGTAAGTTATCGTTTCCTGGAGCAATTCAGATTTTTATTTTCTTTTAATATTCTTGGTTTCAACTGGCATATATCCGCTTGGATCTTTGAATCCTGGCCCACTCTTAGCAGTTTTTCTTTCTTTTCCTAGGTGAGTCAGAGCTGCATTAAACCAAACTTCAGAGAAAGTTGGTGGATTACTTAACTTGGCTGCTGGTACTGGTAAGCTTCAGTTCTGAAGTCGATACTATTGTATCGAATTCATCAGTTCCCTTTCTGGAAAAAAAAAAGCAAAAGCGATTCTACTTGTATCTTCTGTGAATGAATGATCCATATTTTGCATCAGGCGTTTCCTTGCTTTTATTTATATACTATTGAACTCTTAATACAGATATAGTTCACTCTTTCGCAATCTTCTTCATCTCCGAAACTGAAGACCCAGGCATCAGCACTCAGCAGCAACAGTTATGATATCTCTTGTTCACATCGAGCTTCTTCTGGTGATCTCAAATCCGAAGGAAGGTTTGCTAACGCCATTAATAATGATAATGTCTTTGATAGCATTGTCTGACGAAGGCTCTTGATTTTTTATAGACCATCGATAGTTCCATGCTTTTGACATCCCTATTTGCTTGGCTGCAGGGTTAGATTGATAACTGCAAATCATAATCGGTTTCCAGCTTCAGTCTGCTGACTACTTTTCCGACCCCTTGAATCAACTTCGGTGCATTCAGAGAAGACAGCATCTTTGTATTCGTTTCCAGAAGCTCTAGGTTTGGTTTGAATTGGCGTTGACTTCATAGTTGGCAGAATTTGTAGTAATAATTTACCAGTTGGATCTTGAATCCAAAGATACCTCACCCAAAAAAAAAAAAAGTAAACAGTTGAATTACTTTCAAAGTTTTTTTTTTTAATTTCACACTGCATTTTGAATTGAAAATGGAAAAAGAAAGCATTACGACATTCGGATCCTTAACCGTAAAATTCCTCGTCGTTGAAGCACATGCTTATGTCGGAAAAAAATCCGCAAATTTAGTTCTTTTTACTCTAATAATCTGTGTATTAGTCGATTAACGATTATTAACCACCAAAATTTGTTAAAAGTTTTTTTTATAACTATTGAATCAAAAACCGGCTTAACAATAATGATAAATTACTTTAAAGATTTTATGTATATTCATCTAATATCAACTCTCTCCAATCCAATTACATTAAAACAAAGGAGGTTAAACTTGTTCATTATGATCAAGTCTCAATAACCATTCGAGCAAGCCTCACCTACTCGAGATTAAGTCTCGATAATCCTTGGATCAATTCTTAAATAAATATTATGATATCAATGATTAACTCAAATTCTAGTTAATTTGAATTCTGTTATAATTCTACCAACTAGAGATTACTTGATCGTCATATTTAATTTATTTAATATAGTAAGATATTAATTTATAGGTAGTAAATCTTAGTTATCAAGATTTCTTAATGATTACGAATTTTTGGTATAAAGTAATTAGTTTTATAAATAGATAATGAACGTTAGCCTTGAGAATTAAAAAGTGGAGAAACGATGTACGGGTTTCGATATGAGATGATTTGTATCTTTATCAGTTCAAAAGTTATAGATTGTTGTGAGATAATTTTGTTTCTTCTTGAAATTAAGAAGTTTGTGAACTGATGTTTTATCATTTTAGGATTACGAAGGTAGGTTAAAGGGATTAAACCACATTAAATATTTTTAATGGGTGTTTTACTCTTTTTTATCTTGACTTGATTATATTTTTACCTATACATTTTCAATAGTGAGTATAAAAGCAATGATTTAAGACTTAATGTGTTGTAACTATGTGTTATTGTTCGATTTCAGGGGAATTTTTCGCTGCAAATTAAGCTGATATACAAGAAAAGATATGCTGTGACAAAATGTTAGTTGTTGATAGAGAATTTCAATTAAATTAATGCTCATTCAATTTTTTTTTATTTAATCCACCGAATATGACAAAAATGCTTATTGTTTGTAAGTTTACTTGAAATTTGTTTACACATAATGATGTCAAATTCTTTTTTAATTCAATTATATACTTTTTAAAAAATAAATGTATATTTTTTAGGTTCATATTTTTTTTGATTAAATTATATTAGATGAATATAATTATATATGTATATATATAATATGTGAATATAGAATGATATTATATTATTGATAATATCAATAATTTATAAAAACGTAAATAAGAATTTATATATTACACTATACACTTGACCAAAATTAATTTACATATTTAAGACGTATCCCAATTAAATTATAAATGTGGATCCGGTTTAAAAGAACCGGAATATGACGAAGACCCAACCAAAAAAACGAGTCTCGAAGAAGCTTTGTATTAGTTTGTTATTATGAAGAATACAAATACTAAATATTATTTGAGGAAAGGGAGAAAATAAATAAATAAAACAGAGACGAAAAGGAAGGAACAAAAAAGAACTTTTTTTTCAGAAGACGGTCCCCGATGGAGACCGGACCAATAGGCGGTGACGATCTATCGTCGTTTCCCGCGGCAGCCGTATCGCGGTGGACTTTCGAGGTGTCGCGGCGGTACCAGCATCTCCTGGACAAGACGGTTCCTCACGTTCTCTACCGTTGGATCGGATGTCTGATGGTGGTTTTGATCTACGCCGTACGCGTATACTTCGTGCAGGGATTCTACATCATCACCTACGGCCTCGGCATCTACTTGCTGAATCTGTTGATGGGATTCCTTTCTCCTCAGGTGGACCCCGAGATGCAGGATGGCCCCTCGCTCCCCACCCGCGGATCCGATGAGTTTCGCCCTTTCGTTCGCCGACTACCCGAATTCAAATTCTGGTCTGTTTTAATGACTTTGATTTCGTAAAATGATTCTTATTAATGCTAAATTACATTGATTTGAATAATTAGAGATGCTTTTTGTGATTAAAACTTGCTAGATGAAAGATTGTCTCCTTTTCTCGCAGTATTCCAAATTTATTCTGATTTGAAATCGGCAAAGGGTTTTAGAAAGATCAATAAAGAAGCCTCTATTGCATGATGATAAATGAAGAGATCATGAATTCTTATCATAAAATTAAAAATATAGAGATTCAGAATCAAGTGTTTCCAATTATAAGCCACATTCTGAAATCTAAGCTGACCGAATTAGTAATTTTTTTTCTTGCTCCTGAATTATGGTACCCAACTACATATGCGTAGTATTTAGAGGATTGCACTTTACTTCCTATGTCAAACATAAGCGTCCGAATGATATAGCTCGTGAACGTCCAATGCTTATATATTCAATGTACATGAGAATGATTAGAAATTTCAATCTTTTCCAATATAAATGTCAATTGGAGCTTGTTATTGTCATATAGGCTTTATCACACATTCACACTTGTCTGCTCGATGGTGTCTGTGTGTAGAAGCTTGTGTTGTAAAGTGTTCACTTTCAAGGGAAGCCATGTTATAGAACTAACAAAAAAAAATCAGGTTAATGATTCCAATTTGATTCTTTGACTCTGAGTTTTCCTAATACAATAGAGCGCTATGCTCTTGATGAATCCTTTTTGAACTTGATGTGAAACAAAGATCAGGAGAAACAAGCAGCTTCCTTTTCTGGCATCTTTTTTTCTTCTCGATTCTCTTGTTCTTTGTCTATAGCTTTTTTCGTAATTTAAGGTGCAGGGTGCCATGAAACTTTGTTCTTTATTTTCCGAAATGTTTTGCTGAATGCTAAGATTTTTGTCTATTATGTGGCCCTTTCTGTGTGAAGGTACTCGATTACAAAGGCCTTCTGCATTGCTTTTGTGATGACATTCTTCAGTGTGTTTGATGTGCCTGTCTTTTGGCCAATACTCCTTTTCTATTGGTTAATGTTATTCATCCTAACCATGAGGAGACAGATACTACACATGATCAAATACAAATATGTTCCTTTCTCATTCGGGAAACAGGTATTTCTGAATCCATCTTCCTTTGCTACTGAGAGGCAGGGTATTCAGTGTCCTATTTTTCCTTTGTATATTCAATTGCATGATAGATTGTATTGTTATTTGTTTCTTTTGTTAGCGATACGATGGCAAGAAGGTGTCTTCAACAGAAAGCACAAACCTTCCCAGGGATTAAATTCCTCAGGTGTGTATGTGTCTATATTTATCTCTGTAGAATTTGCTTGTAATACAAGTCCGCTTTTAGGAGCATAGTTGCAGATTGAATGTTTTTTAATTTTCACCTACTTTTTACTGGATTTAACTTTCAGGTGTAGTGGTGAAGTTTAGCATTAGATAAACCAAAGTTATCGACAAAGAAAACTTTGTGTGGAAGGGACTTGCAACATTTACCGACGCCTGTAACTTCATCTGATGACATGTATTTTTAATATTGATAATTACCCAGTCAAGCAGTGCAGTTGGTTTATATGAAATTCAAGTTTTGATTTGTACTTTCACGTTTATTTAGATTAAAGGATTTGTGAGATCGGTGATGGTTGTGGTGTATTTGTTGTTGTTTAATACCCTGTTTCTTAATTTATTTAGCTGTTTACTTGGAATGAAAGACAACCCAACCTTGCAACTTGCAAACTGACTTTCCCAACAGCGTGTACTTGATACTCCCTAGTTCAAGATTTATGTATAAATGTGTAAAATCAAAGAAAGAAAGAAAACCAACGACTCAGCTTACATACTTCCTCAATGAAGCAGATAATCAAGCACCCCAAGAAACTATAGATAGAAAGAGAAAAAGGAAAAAGGTAGTCGAAATTCAAGAGGAACATAAGATAGATGTATGTATAAAATCGCCTGTAGTGAGAGGTGCTTATCCATATGTACCCAACACCCCGAAAGACCATCTGCATTCTCCCCTTGTTACTCTAATTTCTCGGTGCAGCAGTTCCAACTTGGGCATAGTATAGATTCCCAGCTGATGATTTTAGTTTTGTTCAAAACGCCTCTGTGCGTCTGTCCGCTCTTGCTTCATCATCCTTTCTTTTACTTAGACGTTTTGATCTGAATGTTTGTATCTTTGTAGTATGCTTGACGGTTGGCTCTTGGAGGCTTGTCACTGGCTTTCCATTAGAAGGGAGTTCGGGGAGAGTATCTGGCCATGGAGTGCGTTTCGACGGAACTGTTATCTCCAAGGGTGGGTCTATTATCCATCTGCATGGCATACAAAATAATGAGCGGATGGGATGGAGAGGAGACCAAGCCAGAGGAACCGATTTGAATCATCAAAGTTGAGAACAAAAAAAAAAAAAAAAACCATAACCCATGAATCGTGTCGTGAGTGAATACAAGTAAAAAGTACAGAGACTGCTATTGATGAACCAACATATCAGATAAGTGTTCAACAGTATGATAAAAGTATGAAATATTGATCATTCTGAATGTTTTGTGTAGGTATGATAATTGACTACCACAAAAACCATTAGCGGCACAATACTAATATAAGGAGAAGAGTACGAGGTATTCACCTAGAAGGGAACTTGCTATCAGCACGAGCTTCAACTCGAAGCCACCAGAGCAAAACTTGACGTCCACAGCTTCCAAGTGGTTCCACCACCGAAGGGTCTTTAACCAAACCTAATGGATTCTCAATATCAGCATCCAATGGATCGATGCCATTAATCCAGTCCAGCTTATCTCCATCTTTCCAAAGCAATCTAGAATTCAACACAAACCCCGACCACTCCAACATCCTCGGCAGCATGGTTGCTCCGCCGTCAATATAAACTGAACTTTTTGCAGCGAATGGTGACGCATTAAACGTATGCCACCCTGCCAACATATTGGACGTGTTACAAGCCGGACCCTGAACCAGCATTGGAGGATTCTCCTCTTCCTCTTTCTTCTGATCAGCCATCTCATCGGAATTAGCCGAGTTTGCAAGTATTCCAACCGAAACTGCCCCGATCCATTTCACATTTTGGATCTCATCAAAAAGTTCCATACTGTGCATGTTACTATCATCCGCAAACATAACAATTCCATCCAATTTCTTCTCTCTTACAATCCTGTCCCCAAATTAAACACAACAAAATTGAATAAACCCTGAATTTCTTACAAATTAATTCCAAAAACGAATAAAAAATTAAATAGATTATGGTTACCTTAAAGCACGAAGACGCATTTTGGACTCCAGTTTATGTCGTTCGTCCCAGGAATTTGGCATCCGTTGATTGAACCCAATGTGAATGGTTTTCAAACCGGATTTGGCAATAAGCGACGCCGTTTCGTTGCTGATGCCAGCAGCTTCCACAACGATCCAAACTAGATCGTAAGGGACCAGCATTAGCGCGTGCATGACACTGGTCATATACAGCGCTTGGAAAGTCCGTACATACGTCGGTGTGACCACGATGATTTTCCTGGGATCCTTCATACCGAATTGCAACCTCTGCTCCTTTTGAACTCTTTCTATAATCCGGTGCGCCTTCATGACCTCGACCGGGTTCGGGTGCGGCCACGGCCGAATCCGGATCCCGTGCCGCCCGACAACCACATGCGAATTAGTTGCCGTATTGTTAAGCGGAGGTAAGGGGAAGTTACCGACGGGGTTGGTGAGCAGAACGGAGTGAAAATCTAGCGTTTTGGCGAGCTCGGAAGAGGATTGAAATGGCGACGTGTAGAAGTTGGTGGAGGAAGTGGAGAACAAAAGGAAGACCAAGCGAGAGAAACGGAAGCCGAGGACCAAGCTAATTAAGCAAGAGAGACCATGAAGGACGAGCCAGAAAATACCGGCGGGTGATTTTATGGCGCAGTCGGAAGAAAAATTCAACGGCATTGATGATCTGAAGCTGTTGCTTCGACGGTTGAGATAGTTGTGTTGTAAAGCCGAGAGCTTCATTTTTTATCTCGACCCCGAAGCTCCGGCGACAGAGAGGAGGAGGATGAAATGAAAAACTAATGAAATTATTTGTTGGAATTTGTGTGGGTTGAGTTTGGTGTGAAGGGTGGGATTAACCAGTTGATAAAAGAAAGGTTTTTTTCTTCTTATGATTACTTTGAAATTACGGGATGAATTGATTTTGGGGTTGCTTTCAGCTTCCTGCTTTCGGTTTGGTGTTTATGTATCTTTATTCTCTGTGTCTATTAAGCATTTATTTATTAGGGTAAAGCACACAAATGGTATCTAGACTATAAATACTACTTGGTTAAGTCTATTGAGTATTAAAAGTTATAAAATAATCTTTCAATTATAAGATATTACAAGTATTCGCTTATTAAAAGTTATAAAATAATCACATGAGTATTCATATATTTCAAACTCATCATTTTCTATTAAAAATTAGCGATTGTCTGAGTTGTACGTTAATTTTTTAACTGGGATATGATAAAAATATGATCCCAAAATTATTTGAATTGTATTTTGTAGATCATATTTATTTTATATTATGTCGTTGAGTCAGTGCTCGGATTTCTTTAGGTTATAAATTTTTAGACCAACATTTTCCTTCCTTTCTTTAGTATTTCCCCTTTTCCGCCTAATTAGGTAGAATTTAGGATTTGTCAAAAAAAAAAGTTATCAGTATATTTTTCCTTCTAGATATAATGAAAAAATTGAAAAAATATTTTTTTTATAATTTTAATAATTTCTCAAATGATATTCGACGTGATTCTACTCTTTATGGAGGAAAAAGTCACTGGTAGTGTGTAAAATAACAAGTTTGTTAATTATAATTAATTAATCATTGTATACAAATAATACATTATAATAGTTACAGAAGTATTTTGCGAATTATATACTTCTATGTTTTACTAGAATATGTCCCTTATTACATTAAAAGAAATAAAATTAATTCTGAATGACATTTATGTTGATATAAGTCCCCTTATTAATCTTATTCTTAAAATTTTATTTTAAACTTTTTTTTAAAGAAATGAACCCGGTTAAAATCCATACTCGGACAAAGAAATATATATTCAAATATTAAAAAGATAAATTATAATATAAAATAAATAGTAAATTGAGATATTGTATAAATATAACATGAGAAAATACTTAATACATGACATAATATAAATGTCAATGAGTAAATGAATTTACAAATATATATATATACACACACGAAAATTATTGAAGTATTAATTTTATATAAATTCATAACTCTGAAAGAATATTATAAAGAGAAAAGTGTAGGTTTTTTAAAATAAATGATTATATCTTATTATGTAAAATATCTAATGAATCACACACAAAATTTTCTCTAAATTAAAATGCAATTATAAACTAAGTCAAATACAAAAGAAATTAATACATTATATAAATACAACATAAATTAATCAAAACAAAACATGAAAAATAACACCATAATACCAATACATGCATGAAAAATATACAAATGGAATATTTATGTATAAAAAAGTTATTAAAACATTTACTAAATGAAAAAAATATGTAAGCGAAAACACAAATTTTATCTTGTAGCTAAATATCCAAACTAACTTTAAATATATTGAAATTCATTTATTATAATTTTATTCCATAATTACCGTTGAAATTAGTTTTACTGGAATTGATTATGTGTCTTCAATAGCAAACTCTTCCCTCTTAAATTAAGCAATCCAATTTGCAATTGCTTTTATATTAGTTATAATTAAATAAGTTTTATCAGTGTTATACCAAAAATAATCTACTTATTATTTATAGTAATTTAATAAATTTACATAAATATCCTTGAAACTCATTAAAGAAATTATGAGGATCTTTAGGGTTTTTTTAATTATCAAACCGTGTACCAAATTTGGCATTTTCACATTATTTTATCTTCCTCGTTCCAAACAAAAATAAAGTAACAATGGCACTCAACTTGAAAAAGGAAGACATTGTATTTTATTTATTTATTTATTTATTTATTTATTTATTTATTGTTGTTGAACTCCATTAAACTTAAAAAAAAAACTATAAACCACAAGCATATGATATAATCATTGTGCCGTTAAAACAACCGCTTAATTTTATTATAATTAATCAAAGCACTCCAATTATTGTATTTATTTTGACATTAAACAAACTTGTTTAGTATATGTCATTAGGTGAATACTAAATTATTCGTTTTATTTTTGTTAAATCATCAGAAAATCTTAAATTTATTTATTTTTAAAAATAAGGGATTATTGGGTGGTTGATTAGAAAAGGTGGGTTGAAAAAAATGAAGAGAAGGGGTTTGGTGGGATGGATCTATTGATTAGCAGAATGAAAGGGATGAGTTAGGCCAAATACGTGTAAGCTTTGACGTATTATTCATTAATTAATTATTGCTACCGAGTGAGGAGTTAAGATGAAGAATATGTTACACATGTTTTCATCTATTTTCTAATAATTCATTTCATGAAAAATGATAAAAGCTACGATTTTATACTTTTTAAAATTTATATATAAAATCACGAATCAAACGACCTCGGTGATTAAATAAATGATTATTATTCCTAAAAATCTCGAATTCGAGCATTAGTGCTTGCAAGGTATTTAAGTGTTCATTGCTAAATAGTTGAGTCTTTATAACAAATACTATCACTTATAATCATTGTAAATTAATAAAAAATAGTACATATAAGAATCTTTGACATTAGAGTGTTTGTTAATATTTTATAAAGCAAGTGTATTGAATAAAACATATTTTTTATTAACATATATATTCTCTTTAAATTAAACAAAAACTAAGGGTGCAATTCTTAAAGTTTAAATTTTTTTCTGATTCGAATTTGAATAATATTATTTACACGTGTGCGTGAATTTAAATTGAATTTAAAAAAAAAGACCAAGGGAAATATATCCCCTTATTAAGACCTATTTGGTCCAACGATGATGTTTTCAAATAAAAGGCCGAAATAAGGAATAACATATTGCAAACCTAATCCAAACCCAAACTTAGCCCAATTATTAATAATTATTAAGAAAGGATTCTTTTATAAAATTATTAATAAATAATTTTTTAATAATCTGAGGTGATTATAACTATCTATTCATAATCTTTCTTAATTATCGACAACACACATGTTCTACAAACACAACTACTTGAATTCAAGACCTCTAAGAAAAACAATACTCCCTTTAATCACTAATATCACTAGATGAGTTCAATTATTAAGAAAGGTTGGTTATACTGTATTTGCATTTGGAACATAAATTTAAAGGGTGTATCATATACCGTTGATGAAAAAAAAAAGCAGGGTAGAATCATGGCCATGTTTGGTTACATGATGTGATTAAGACAAGTAAAAACTTATTTCTCACATACAAAATAAGTAACACAAGTAATACTTAATACAATGTTTGGTAGATGAATTTAACTTATGTAATACGTATTTTTTATTTTGTTTGGTATAGGTGTTGAACAATTAATAATATATTATTTTACAAATGTTATATTTTACTCTTAAAAGTTAGTAAAGCAAAACCACTTTTGGAATTATACCATTTTCATATATATATATATATATATATATATATATATATATATATCATAATAACATTTCTATTTAAAAATAGAAGTATTCTAAAAATATAAGATATAAAATAAGATAACATTAAGGCATAGTCAAATATGATAATTTTATAGCCCAATAACTCTTATTAAACTGAGAATCAATAAGCTCAATTTGTTAGGGAGTAAAAGGCTTGGGTTATGATTACAACAATAAATGGACTACAATTATTAGGGGGTGAGCAAACCTCGACTCGACTTGAAAAATCAATTTTTTTTAATTTCTAGTTATTCGAGTCGAGTTATTCGAATTAACTCGAATTATAAATTCGATTTTCGAGTTTGAGTCAAGTTGAAATTTTAAAATTTCAAGAAACTCGAAAAACCGAAAATTTGGATGAGAATTTTGATAGATTTACAATTTGGTCCCTGATTTCCTATTCCTTCAATTACTCTTTTTTTAAGTCAAATTTTCACCAAATTTGAACCACATGCTCCTAAACCATCATAAAATATATATGAACTTTCAATTCCACTTTTGATAATAATTTTTTTATTCTTCAATTTAGTCCTCAATTTTACATGATTTATGTATTTCTTCAATTCACCATTCATTTTAAGTATGATTTTGACCAAATTTAAAGCACACACTCCCCTACCACTATACATTACCTATGTAACTTCAATTTTTTTTTTACTAAAAATATACTTTTTTAATTTAGTCCTTTAACTTTGCATTTTACTTATTTTAGTCTTTTGAGTACAATTGTTTACAAATTCTTTCTTCACATAAATTCTTTGACTTCTTTATACTCTCATTAATCTTTTATCCTCAAAACACCTTCTTGAAAATATAATATTGTAAATATATTTTTATAATTTCAGATTATATGTGATATATTAAATAACATTGTAATGTGCAAAGAATATGAAGAAATATATATATCTTATATGGTTAGAGAAAGTTGAAAAATTGGAATAATTTCGTATTATAATACTATAAATAATTACAATTAAATTTGTATAGAAATTCGAACAACTTGACTCAAATTTCTTAAACTCGACTCGACTCAAAAAAATTTAAAGTCAACTTCGAGTTGTAAAATATGACTCGCCAACTCGAATAACTCGAAATTTTTTACTTGACTCGATCGAATACTCACCCCTAACAATTACAACGAATAACAGAAAAGCATAACAACACAATGGACCATTCAACTAACAAAAAAACCCCAAGCATAACAGAATGGGGAATGCTAAGCATAAAATAATAACAAGTGCCCAATTTTTTTTATGTAATTATTACTTTGGTGGCGTAATATGACATGCTAACGTTATTGTACAATGGATCAGATTTAAGATGTTACAATAGGTGAGGATTGCGTCAAGGCGAGAAAGAATAATTAGAAATGTGATAAGAGAGTGTAGACACCTAATTTTGTCCAGCTCGATTTGATTAATAGTCCAATGTTCCAAATAAGTCCAAACCCCAAGGCCTAGATACAAGCAAGCCCATTACA